AGTTTTGGAGGTGTGTTTTGAATTAGATATAAAGTTCCATTTTTTTGAGCTGAAATCATTTTTGTGAATATAAATGAGTGTATATAGTATATATTCTTTTACATATTCTACTACTACTGTGTGTGTGTGTGTGTGTGTACATATCTTTGAATTGTGTAAATTTACGGTAGTCTGTTAAATCATTATATAAAATACTTTGCTATTTTCAAATATATTTTAATGTTTCTTTAAAATCTCTAACCCTAAATCCTTTTTATATTTGTTTCTTTTTTAATTTGGAATCCCTTTCTCATTACCATGCAGCCAAATCTAGCTGCATTTTTGTTTCAGATAACATTGTAATAATAGCAAAGATTTCATATGTCCTTGGTGTAGCTTTGCTCTTGCAAAAACAGTATAATAATAAAAATACTTAATTTTGGAAGAACAGATAGCAATATCTAGCCAACCTTTACCAATCCTATAAAACACTAGTCAAATTAAGCTTTATTGTTATTAAACAGAAGAGTATCAGGAAGAGTAATTCAATTTCAGTATTTTCTACTTTGTCTTCCAACTTCTTTAATTCTTTCTTCCAGATTCTCTTAACTGAAGACTACTTATGGTATCCTGACTGCAAATGTTTAATTATTTTATCCTTCTATTTTTTAAATTTAAATAATACTAAAATCCTATATTTCTACAAAATATAGTGAACTACCTTTGTACATGGCATCTGTTCTAAGATGGCTACATAAGGCTACTTTATGCTATGTATTCAAAAGATTTTTCTCATCTACCATCCATTATTTGGAGGATGTTCATATCTTATGTAACTTTTGTTCTATTATCTGTTTCTTTCATTTTCCAGATGGAACAATCTTCTAGAAGAAATTGCAGAGCATTTACATTCCAGTAAAGGTCTGCTTCATCTCTGGCAGAAATATAAAAACTATTACTTGCAATGTTCTTCTACTGTCCAGCAATATGAGGACCGAACAAATGAACTTTTGAAGGCTGAACTCAATAAGGACACTGTTGATGATGAAGCCACTGCTTGGATTCATGACTGCAATGTATGTTTGTGATATAAACTGTTGTTCTGGCTAATACAGTCCTGAACTGAGACACCCCAAGCAAATAAGTATATTAGACTAGTATAGATTATTACAAATTAGGAAGATGCTGATAGTGAAATGAAAATGTCTAGCTTTCCCTCTATTATTTGTCTCACAAAGCCAACTACCTCATTGTGTCTTGGAAAGCAAGTTTATCTGCTTTTCCATAGTTTTCATTAGGATCACATGAGAGAGAGAGGGAGGGGGAGAGAGAGAGATTAAAGCAATATATCTTGGAAGAGTGAGGTAATCTCTTCTCATGTGATTATTAAAATACCAGTTTTGTTACATGGTTAAGTGGAAATAGAAAGAGACTGTCCTAAAGTCACTCAGGGAACTCCACAATTACATAGATATGTGAATCTGAGTCTTTTCATTATATCTTACATATCTACTCTCGAATAATGCACAGTCACAATTGTTTGTATCACATCACAAAGTAAATTAAATCCTATCAGGTTATTGTAAGGGCTGGACATAGTTGTGCCAAGATGACATACTGTCATTGTGCCAAATGCTCATGTTCAAGCACATACATAAAGATTGGTAAGAGCCTTGGTGGCACATTGGATAGAATGCAGTACTGCAGGGCTAACTCACCACTCACTCCAGGAGTTCAATTCTAAGTGACTCAAGATTGACTCAGCCTTCCATCCTTCTGAGGTTGGGAGGACCCAACTTGTTGAGGGCAATATACTGACTCTGTAAACCGCTTAGAGGGGGTTGTAAAGCACTGTGAGGCAGTATATGTCTAAATGCTATTGCTATTGCTACATTCAGGCCCCATATATTTACTAAAACTCAATTTTAACATTACAGTTGTCATCTTCAAATTTACGTTTGCTGTGATTTCCACAGGATCTACTTAAAGGCATGAAGACAATGCAAGATTCTCTATCTGTTCTGCATGAACTAGGCGAACAGCTGAAGCAGCAAGTGGATTCTTCTGCTGCAGCAGCTATCCAATCCGGCCAGCTCTTACTAAATCAGAATTTAGCTTCTTTAGAGCAAGGACTCAACAGACAGCAGTCAATATTACAGGTAGGGAAATGTTCCTTGACATGTCAGAGAAAGTAGTCTCTTGTTGTACTTTCAACTAGTCACATGGCTATAATTTATGTGCTGTCATAATATCGTGCTTAGGATAAAGTAATGTAAACAATCAATTCTTTTTGGAGAAAAGAACAGTTGTCCTCAATGATTTTTTTTATTCAGACACAATATTTGAGAACTGCTATACAGACTGAATTTTTTTGTTCACTAAGTCATATCCGAATCTTCACAACCCCCTGAACCAGTGGTGAAATTCAATTTTTTTTACTACCAGTTCTGTGGGCATGGCTTGGAGGTGGGATCCTGTGGCTGAGTGGGCATGGCTAACTCGATGTCACTCATGGCCACACCCACTCAGTCACATGCCCCACCAGGAATTTTTGCCACCGGTTCGGAAAACTGATGCCAATCGTCCTTGTCGGTTTGCCGAACCGGGAGGATTTCAACCCTGATCTGGACCACAGCATGCTAAGCCCCCCTGTCTTCCACTGTCTCCCTGAATCTACCCAAACTCATGTCCATTGTGTTGATGACACTATTTAATCATCTCATCCTCTGTGGTCCCCTTCTCCTTTTGCCTTCAGTCTTTCCCAACATCAGGGTCTTTTCCAACAAACCCTCTCTTCCCACTAAGTGGCCAGAGTAGTTGAGCTTCAGCATCAGTATCTTATGCCCTTCCAGTCAGGTTTGTTTTCCTTTAAGAACAAAAAATAGTCAGAGTTGAGTTCCTTTATACAGAACCACAGTACAGCATTTCTTTATGTTTCTATTTGAACACAAAATCATTACGTTTAAATCTTAGCATTTCATCTTTTTTTTTCTAAAGCAAACAACCTATAAATCAATGTCCACATTCATTTGGCAACAGAGCTTTTAGGGCACAACTTGAATTATGACCTTAATCAGCATAAGTTGCAATTTTACTTATAATTGTTCCAGCTTTATATCATGCAAACACCACATTTTTAAATTTAGAAATATAATGTTCCTTTTTTTATATTGGATTTCATGACATTCTAACATGAAAAAAAAATACTGGTATTAATGACCCTCCCCATTTTTAAAAATTTAAGGCAGGAGTTCAAGACTACCAGACCTTTAATCTCAGTCTGTCAGGACTGGAGCAGTGGACAAAGCAAGCGGAAGAGATGCTGAAAATGCAAGATCCAAGCCACTCATCGGACTCATCCATCATTCGGAACAGAATGGAGGAGCTTAAAGTGAGTTTTTGAAAATGTTTTTTAAAAAAACTTTGAAAATATGTTTTATTTATTGTTATTGGGTACTTATTTATTTATACATTTATGGGTTTTTAAAAAAAACCTAAACAGAAAACAAAAACTATGTATTTGAGAATAATCAAGTGGATTAAAACAATGGGCGAGATTAAATACCAGGTAAAATAGGTTCATATCAAAGAGGATAGAACAAAGTGTTCTTACATATGTATATAAACAGCCACTAGCTTTGTGTTTAATTTGTATGTAAGTATTCTCATAGAATAACAAGATCTATTGCAATAAACGGTGCTCACTGCTGACTTCCTCAACAAGTATGCAGTCCTATTTTTCCCCCAGCTATTCTCAACAATCATAACATCGAAGCCTTATTAGCACAGTTAAGAGCTCAAAACATTTTTTAGGGTGTATTCCAAGGAATAGTTTCATATTTGTTGCACTGAGCTCCTTGAAGAAACAACTGATGTATTATTCATTTTAAAAATGCATTAACATTCTCCCTGTGTGTGTAAGTAATATAGGGCACTTCAATCCATTTTCTTAAAATTAAAAAAGTTATTGTTATTTTTTTGTCCTGAATAGAACTTTGCTTGTGAGCTGTCCAAGGTAATAGTTACAGTATGGGTAACTGTACAATCTGAAAATAAAATCTGTTTTATTATTGTAACATAAAGCTAAAATTGTACTCCAGTATAAAATTAGGGACGCGGTGGTTCAGTGGCTAAGACGCTGAGCTTGTTGATCAGAAAGGTCGGCAGTTTGGTGGTTCAAATCCCTAGTGCCACATAACGGAGTGCGCTCCTATTACTTGTCCCAGCGTCTGCCAACCTAGCAGTTTGAAAGCATGTAAAAAATACAAGTAGAAAAATAGAAATTGGTGGGAAGGTAATAGTGTTGCATGTGCCTTTGGTGTTTAATCATGCCGGCCACATGACCATGGAGATGTCTTCGGCTTTGAAACGGAGATGAGCACTTCCCCCCTACAGTCGGGAACAACTAGCACATATGTGCAAGGGGAACCTTTACCTTTACCTATAAAATAAATATTTTGCAGTAATGTACCCAGATTACAAATATGGAAATTAAAAATATTAAGAAAACTTGTTTCCTGTCACTTTATAGTGCCAGATGCTAAAATTCAGCAGCATGGCACCTGATTTGGATCGTCTAAATGAGCTGGGATATATGTTGCCCTTGAATGATAAAGAAATCAAAAGGATGCAAAATCTGAATAGATGCTGGTCAGTTATTTCTTCACAAACTACTGAAAGATTCAGGTAAGTCAGATATTTACAAAACAGTGTGATTTACACAGATTGGAGTTTTAATAAAGCAAAGTTGTCAGGCCAACAGTTCTATTCCTAATGTTCAGATTATGGTAATTCTAGAATTGCATAAGTTTTGGAAAGATAATAATGTACTTCATTCTGTTATATTGTTTCAAGCAAGACTCTTTCTACTAGAAAAAAGTCCAGAGGTAATACTAAAAATGTATTAAGTCTATCTTACCAGAACTTTATTAACTCTAAATGTATCTACTTACTGGCTGAAAGATGGTTTGTGTATACCTACTTTACAAAAGCCAATTAGCCTTCCCAAGGCAATTAGATGACCCAAGTAAAGCAAATTAGATATAAAATGTCAGAAAACACAAACAAAAAAGTGGTGGCCCAGGAAAAAATTCATTCAGAAAATTTTATTCTTATTTGCAGAATCATCTCTTTAATCAAGAAGCCAAAAGGACGTTTCATGATTCTTCAGATTAAAATTGCTTGCTGCCTGTTTTTCTAGCCTTAATTGATACTCTGTGACCTATGGATCACTAATAATAAAAAATAATTGATTCAGTAGGAAAATTACATGCAACAGAATAAGTTGTTCAGGGTGTGAACATTATAAATAACATTATCATGTATACTTTTTGCTTCAGATATGCTAATTAGCTGTCAAATATTGAATAGGTTCATTTGATATGTATATGTGAGGAGGAATTAGTGCCTTTGACCCAGGTTTTGCTTACAATGCCTTTGGATCTACCTTCTCTTATATGAAAAGAATTCCAGTGAAAAATAAACTAACCTATTTTGAATTGAATTTGAATTTTAATAAATTTATATGCCGCCCAATCCCATAGGACTCCAGGCGGCTTACAAAAACAAGATAAAAGATAAGAGTTAAAAATAGAAAAGAGAAACAAATTTAAAAACAACACACCATACATTCAGTCTAGGTGGGGCTGGACCTCGTTCATGAAGTCAACAGCCCCAGGCCTGCTGGAATAGCCAGGTTTTAGTGGCTTTTCGGAAGGCCGAGAGAGTGGGAAGGATCTCTACAGGTAGATCGTTCCACAAGGCCGGAGCAGCTACAGAGAAGGCCCTCCCCCGAGGGGCCGCCAGCCGGCATTGTCCGGTAAGAGAACTTTATTTGGGATCATCTCAACATGGAAAAACATAGCAGCATTTTTATCATTGCGAATGCCAGTCCTGACAGAGCTTCACCAAATGGCTCTACAGGCAATTTTAATGAAGGTGGCATGGGATATTCACCCATTCCAATTTATATGTAACTGTAAGCCTGCCCAAACCTCTGATGAATGCTTTTCAATATCACAATACTACAGTGATGGGTTTCAAATTTTTTTA